TGTAATTAGTATTTGGGTGGTGAACATGATGTAATCTATGCAGAAATAGAAGTATAATGATGTACACCTGAAATTTATACAATGTTATAAACCAATGTTATTGCAATAAACAAAAAAAAAAGAAAAAGAAAAAGAAATGTGCTGCAAAAACAGCATCTGGGCACTGCATTGGTGGTCTTCTTGCTTCTCTCCCTGTTTTCCCTTTGCCTCATGACCACTCATATCCTTGAAGTCATTAGTGAGGCTTGACACTGGATAAGCGTGTGAGTCTGTTTTGACAATCCAGTCATTGGTATTATCTGAAAGGTCCAGGAAAAAAATGACATCAAACATTTAGCAATGGAATAGAAGAATTGAAACTTGGTGGCGGAGAGGAAGTCTGAGAATGAATAACCAGGTAATCTGGAGAAAAGGAATGAAGTATCATGGAGCCAAGATTTTTTTTTTAATGTGCTTTTTATTTTGGAGAATTTTTAGATTTACAGAAATTTTGCCAAGATACTACAGAGAATTCCCATATACTCTTTACCCAGTTTCAGTTTCCCCTAAGGTTATCATCTTACATTATCTTGGTACATTTGTCAAGACTAAGAAATCAACATAACTATTGAAACACTCCAGACTCTATTTAGATTTCATCAATTTTCCCATTAAAGATCTTCTTCTGTTCTAGGAATGATCCAGGGTACCACACTGCATTTAGTTCTCGTGTTTCCTTAGTCTCCTCGGTCTGTAACAGTTTCTCAGGTTTTCCTCATTGCTCGTGATTTTGACAGTTTTGAGGAGTATTGATCAGGGATATTTTGTAGAATGTCCCTCAATTTAGGCTTGCCGGATATTTTGTCTCATGATGAGATTGGGATTACACGTTTTTAGAAAGAATACCACAGATGCGAAAGGCCCTTCTAATCACATCATATAAGAGGATACACGAATCCACATGACTTATTACTGGTGATGTTAACTTTGATCCGTTGGTTAAGATGGCATTTGCCAGATTTCTCCACTGTAAAGTTATTATTGTTCCTTTTCCATTCTTGACTCTTTGGAAGTGAGTCACTAAGTTCAGCCGAGAATCAGAAGGGAGGGGACTAAGTTCTACCTCCTGAAGAGGAGAATATTTACATATATTATTTTGAATTCTTCTTTAAACGAAATTTGTCTAAGAGAAGAGAGGTTTAAAAAGGAAAATGTGGTCGTATTCTACTGTACAATTTATGCAGATGAAGAACCAAAAGTCTTCATGGATTTTGGCAAAATGAAGGTTGGAGTTACCTTACCAAGAATGATTTCAATTTAATTGTAAGGATAGGAGCCAGAAGAATGAGAAGAAGGATGAATGTGACAGGAAGAATTAAAGACAGCATATGTAAACACTTCTCTGAAGATGTTTAGCTATAGAGTGGAGCTAGGAAGGAGGACTGTAGTCCAGGATTCATGTGACAATGATATTACATTCTGTTCTTATTGTAAATTTTGTTCCAGGAACATGGGTCTCAATTTCAATTCAGGTTTCTAGTGACTGTAAGAAAGTACAACTTTCAGAATCCTTAACTTGATTAAATTTAAATTACCAAATTTATGTCAAAATCCAGTTGTTATCATAGATTATGTGATTTTTTTAACCCTTGTATAAAAGAGATTTCCGTGAAACAAAAAGCAGATCCAAGAGAAAAAGACTCGTTACTATTTGGAATCCAATTTATAGCTAAAATGCCTCTGATTTCTTTGCTAGTATATGTCAAACCTGAGTAGACTTAGTCCTACTCAGTCTGTATTGGGCATTTAATAAATTTTGTCAGGACACTGGCAGGCAGCCTTGCAACTATTCTTGGTGAGAGTGCGTTTGCAGCCAATCATTTTTGCCAAATCTTTACAGTTAGAATAGACATCGTCATATTCGCAACTATTGGCTGGAATAAAAACAAAGAGATTAGTCACTTCATTATCATTTTCCTGCACAGCAGCAACACAAACAATAAACTTAATGTGAGGAGGGAATTGAGCAAACAAGTTGGCATCGTTCCCTTATGATGGTCATTTCATATCTCGAGGGACACATAAGACCCCTTAGTTAAATTCAGTGCTTAATCCATCACTTCTTTTAAAATTCGAGCTTTTAAAAATATTTCTAAAATGAATTGACCTACTTTCCTCTCTTGTAAAATGAAGTTAAATCACTCTAGAACTGTACTATCTAAAATGATAGCTGCTAGCCATGTGCTTGTTTAAATTTAAACACAAATTAACTAAAATTAAATAAAATTAAAATTTCAGGTACTCAGTGATGTTAGTTACAAGTGCTCAATAGCCAATGGGTCTCGTGGTTACTTTACAGGACGTGCAAATATTGAACGTTTCTATCATTGCAAAAAGTTATATTGCACACTGTTGCACTAGACTCTAATGCCACTAGTCTTGCTTTCAGGAGTAAGAAATCATTATGAGAAGATGTGGATGCAAAAATGTAAAAACAGGGGAGAATTTCACTATGATTATTGGACATTCCCACTTGGATGTCCCTCAGTGGCCACAACCTCAACAAACCTCAAACTAAATTCATCATCCTACCTACAAGCTTGGCATTTCTTTGGTATCCCTCTCCAACTTCTGACTTGATTCACTCAATCTCAGAGAAATGGTACTCCCAACTACTAAGTAATTCAAACCAGGAACTAGGAATCAACCTGAACTTGTTCACCTCTACTTTTTATCAGCACCTAATAAGCACAAGTAACAAACACTGGCTAGTCTACTTTCTTTCTCTCTCTCCTAACTGTCCATTCCTCTTCATTCGTTTTGCCCTAATGAAGTAAGACATCCATTTTTTTTTTTTTTTTTTTTTTTTTTGTGAGGAGATCAGCCCTGTGCTAACATCTGCCAATCCTCCTCTTTTTTGCTGAGGAAGACTGGCCCTGGGCTAACATCCGTGTCTATCTTCCTCCACTTTATATGGGACTCCGCCACAGCATGGCCTGCCAAGCAGTGCGTCAGTGCGTGCCCGGGATCTGAACCAGCGAACCCCGGGCCGCCACAGCGGAGCGCACGCACTTAACCGCTTGCGCCACCGGGCCGGCCCGACATCCATTTGTTTTTAAACCCAGGTTTTTCAACAGTTTCCAAGTTGGCTTCCACCCACTTGTTCCCTCACACTAATGCCCAGTGCTCTTCAAAATACACAATTCTGATCTCATCACTCTTCTGTTTAAAATCTTTCAACTGGATGCTCATTACTAATAGGATGAATTTCAAACTCCTTAACAAATAGTATTCAGCAGAGGTATAAGTATTTTCTTCTTTAGTGGATTTATAGCTCTGAATTGTGTCTATACCATTCACTCAGAAAGGATGCTACAATTCAGTTAGGTGAATACGTTTGAAAGGTAACAATCTCAGTTAATGTCAACCATATTATTTATAATAATTTTAATAACATACTCAACTAAACAAAAATACCGACTCTCTGTATGTCTATTCACAACAACACTGGAAATGAGATATTACATGACATTAATTTTACTCCTTTTTGCTAAAATATTTTTGAGGCTTCTGTGAGCTAATAATACTGTATGCCAATTTAATAGACATATAGAAAGTACGTAAAAGTTACTAGCAAACAAAAGTGCAAGTGGTTGTTAGGTTAAACTTGATGAATCTAACTACACTATGGGGAAAGTGAGGAATTTCATATGATGAACTCATTGGCATATAAGGAATGATTATTTTTGGTGTGCCTGTCCAGACTGAGCCATATTCTGTGGTCTCACACCTTTATGTTTGTATATATTTTCTCTTTTTAAAATGCTACCTTTGCTCTAATGGCATTAACTTTGATGAAAAGAAAATGTATATTTAATTACAATGAATTATTTCCGCAGAAACATTTTCATATATGCCAACATGTAACGAGTTGACTGTAGTCACAAATGTACATTGATGGTAGATGATTCTTTAGGTTACACATGGTAACACGCTTTTCATTGCAAATAATACATAGACAGTGAATGGTGTCAAATTTTTGGTTAAACACATTCTGTTGAGTAATTTTACTGTTTTTTTTTTTGCATAAAGGCATTGCTTAAGTTGGTTACATTCAGATTTCCTAATTCTTAAAAAAGAAATGTCAGGTCATTTTATTATACTAACAAATTAATGACGACAAACTTACTGCATAGTCCATTGTCACAGTGATTAGGGCAGCTGGCACAAGGTTTTCCTTCTAGGTAAGGGGTACGTTCTCTGCCAACAAAATTACCACTGAAATTTGAAATGCAACATGTCAAACATTTTTCATTTTTTGGTTTAGTCTATGCTCCAAGGGGAGCATCCATCACCATATGTACCTGAATATTTATTCAATGTATGTAATCATGTCAAATAACTGAAAAACTAAAATTCCCCACACGTACGCTCACTTCCTTGACAATAATTTCACAGCCTGAGCAACTGAAATGGGATAAATAGTGTCTAAAATTTTCAGAGTATATTTCATGTGGCAATGCTCTTCATCTTCCAGTAGACTAGGTCTAATTGTTAAGGCAGTGCACCCCAAGTTGCTGACCCAAGATGGGTAAAACATATCCTCTAGAAAGACAGGAGGAGCTCCTAGGGACCAGGAGTTGCAGCATGGGAAATATTTAATGTTAAATGTAATTTTATATTTAAAAAGGAAAGTATAACAATTTGTATAGTGTGAACTAGAAAAAGTCAAGCTCCAGGGGAATTTTTGGCTTCTAGATGAGAGGTGGTGATTTTCAAGTAGTTTTTGGTGTGTGTTTTTGGGAGGTAGGTGACCTTAGGAAAGTTGTTGACTATCTAGAGGTTTTGTGTGTAAGATTTTTATGCTTACCAAAAATAGGACTGTTATTAGGAAAAAAAATGTTTCATTAATACTAATCTCCAGGGTATATTGGTCTTACAGTGACTGGCCTGCACCTCATTAATGATTATTATCATTATAATCATTATTATATATTGGCCATTATAATCTGAAAGTACAAGGGAGTCAAAATCTCAGTCATACCAAGTGGGCCCAAGACAATGCACCAGAATCCCAATCTGTCTGCACAGAATGTAGCTTTATGTGTGGGGGCTCTTGGAAAAATTGTGAAATGGAAAAAAGTGTTCTGGAAGTTTATGCACTCCTGCTTTCCCTCATTATTCACTCCAACTCACACCTCAGTTGCCTGGGCCAGATGCCTCCCCCTCACAGCCAGGCAATGAGTTTGGACGCTTTCTCCTAGGACCTTTCAGTTCTTTCTACTAAACCCTAATAGGCACCTGCAGGAAAATGACTCGGAAGGTCACATTTCTCTAACTGGAACCCTACCTCATCTGAGTTGTGGATAGCCTCAAAATAAATCATCTTGGATGCTTGGTTTTGCATGAAAATCTCCCTCCAGTGGTAAGGAATTTCAAACATTAAAAATAAATTAAAACTGGCGCCCGCCCGGTGGCGCAGCAGTTAAGTATGCGCGCTCCTCTTAGGTGGCCTGAAGGTTTGCAGATTTGCATCCGGGTGTGCACCGCCGCACCGCTTGTCAGGCCATGCTGTGGCAGCATCCCATATAAAGAGGAGGAAGATGGACACAGATGTTAGCCCAGGGCCAGTCTTCCTCAGCAAAAAAGAGGAGGATTGGCATTGGATGTTAGCTCAGGGCTGATCTTCCTCACACAAAAATAAATAAATAAATAAATAATTTAAAAAAATTAAAACTAACAGATACATGGTGAATATATCTTCAATATATTCATAGGAATTTTTGTGGATAATTAAAAAATATTGTTTGAGGAAGGGGTATATTTCCTGCTGTAAATCTAGATCATAATGGGTGGTTCCTTCAGAGCTTTTGTGTTAAATTCTAAGGAGTAAAGACTTAAGATCTTACCTTTTCTTGACAATTTGACATGTATCAAGGATCTCTTTAAAAGCCCTTGAGGCCCAAGATTTAATCAATTCTTAGTGGTGTAATATAGGCATTTTTAGATACGCAGGAGTAGGAATATTTGAGTACAAAAGGCTGGAATCACTAAAATGTCATCCCCCATTTGCTACCTCCCCTTCACCCTGGCGTAACCATCAAGCTTTGATTTTCTAGTGTGTGAGCTTAGTAATAAGCGACAATACCAGCTGTAGAGAACTACACACTATGTACACCCACGGAGTAACTCTGAGCCTCAGGGAATACAATGCAGAGGGAGGACAAGTCATTTTATACATGAAGAAAGAGAGCTTCAGAATATTATATTTAGAACTGAGAAGTTGGTCTTCTTGTGTCTCAAATTGAGAAAATCTTTGTAAAGATTTACCCCCCCTTTACTGAAATATTCCAATTTATTATACTTTAAAAATATTAAATTACTGGTGGCTTTATTGATAGCAAACTCAAAAGTATGTACTTACGGAGGACAATATTGGCAAACTTGGTAGTATTTTAGTGATTTTTGATTAGGACAATAGGCAATTCCACATCCAACACGGTAAGACGAGTACCAAACAACCTACAAATCCACAAGGAAAGATATGAGAGTACATTACAGAAGAAGGAAATACCGAAAAACAAATAGTAGGAAATTCAAAACTGAAATGAATGTTGCTGATATATTTTGTTTCCATATACCTTATTGATATAGTTAGATTATTGAATCAAAGTAAAAATCTTTTAAAATATTACATTTCCATGTACTGTCACGACTTTATCTATTTAGACTGTTAGAAAAATAGAGAGTATGTTTCCCTACCAAGAGCCTACAGGCTGTTGAAAACAGCTCACAGCTGAAATACCCACAACATGCCTAAACTATTCTTTACCCACTTGAGAGATCTTCCCCCAAATCCAACACTGGCATCAGTCAGCATTTGAAGATTTCTTTTTAGGACATTTATGGCAGAGGGTTTTTCATTTATTCCACTTACCTGGGTGTAATGTCCAACTACCGCATTGGGATGATTTTTCCCTACGCCATAGGTAAAATGACGGACCTCATCATACCAACCTTGGATTGCATGTGACCATGAAATAGGTCTACTTGACATAAAGAGATTCTCACCACAGTGCCTTGTACCTAAGAAGAAATAGAGCATTCATGAGGAAAGCAATACTAAAGCATGCAATGGCTAAAATATATATATATAGGGATTATAAATATATATATATTTATAATCAGAGTCCATATTCTTCAATCACAGTGCCCATACTTGCTAACTGTTGATCAATACATAAGGGAGTTCCTTATCAGATTTAAGCTGAAAAGAAGACAGATGTCTTCTAACAGGCTGGCCTCAACATGCAAAATTTTCAGTAGATGAAGTCCTCTTTCTTTAATATCCACTCCCCCTAGATTCATCCATTTACACATTAAATTCTTCATGAGTGTATGCCTCATGTGCTCTCAGCTTTGTATTACAAGCTGGCTGAGGGCAGACATCAACTCTTATAATTTTTCTCCTACTCTCATCCATGCATCAGAAATTTTCATATATAGGAACCTCAATAAATATTTAAGATTGTTGTTTCTGTGAACTTTGAAAAAAAACTTATACTCAGTCTTTAAGAGCCGTAAGCAAGAAGCAAATGACACCAGGAGGGAGACTATTTTCAGTTTATGGGTCTCCCCTTAATCAGCAAGTCAGAACAACACAGGCCAAATTCTCCTCAGAGAACTATGAAAGAAGTGTCTTGTAGCCCAGAAACATTTCAATATATTTTTCAAGACTTGAAATTAATATTTATATTTGGATGGCTTGAAACATAATGTCTACGTGCTACTTAAAGGGAGTATAAACTACTCTTGGATAGCTCCTTTAAGAGGGAAAGAAAGGAAGCTAAGATTTTAACAGTAACTGGGATCCTCAAGAACATTTGTCTCAATCTTCTACTGAATATAGTCATCCTTCATAATTTCATTAAATTATAGTATCAAAAATACAAATAACAATGGCAGTCCTACCTTCAAAAAAGGTGAGTTATTTACTACTTTCAATTTGGGCTTGCCTATATCTATGTCATTTTTGATGATTTAAGTCCAGGCATACCTCATTTTATTGCACTTCATTTTATTGCTCTTTGCAGATATTGCATTTTTTACAAATTGAAGGTTTGTGGCAACCCCATGTCAAACAATTCTATTGGCGCCATTTTTCCAACACATTTGCTCACTTAGTATCTCTGTGTCATGTTTGGTAATTCTCTCAATATTTCAAAATTTTCATTATTATTTGTTATGGTGATCTGTGATCAGTGATCTTTGATGTTACTATTGTAATTGTTTTGGGTTGCCATGAACCATACCCATGTAAGATGGCACACTTAACTGATAAAAGTTGCTTGTGTTCTGACTGCTCCACCCACCAGCTGTTCCTCCACCTCTCTCCCTCTCCTTGGGCCTCCCTATTCCTTGAGACAGCAATATTGAAATTAGTGTTCAAGTGAAAGGAAAAGTTGCACACTTCTCACTTTAAATCAAAAGCTAGAAATGATTAAGCTTAGTAAGGAAGGCTGAGAGAGGTTAGGAAGCTACAGAAGCAAAGTTTGAAGCCAGCAGAGGTTGGTTCATGAGGTTTAAGGAAAGAAGCCATCTCCATAACATAAAAGTGCAAAGTGAAGCAGCAAGAGCTGATGTAGAAGCCGCAGCAAGTTCTCCAGAAGATCTAGGTAAGATAATTAATGAGGGTGGCTACACAAAACAGCCTTATATGGGAAGAAGATGCCGTCTAGAGCTTTCATAGCTAGAGAAGAGAAGTCAATGCTTGTCTTCAAAGCTTCAAAGGACAGGCTGACTCTCTTGTTAGGGGCTAATACAGCTGGTGACTTTAAGTTGAAGTCAATGCTCATTTACCATTCTGAAAATCTTAGTGCCGTTAAGAATTATGTTAAATCTACTCTGCCTGAGCTCTATAAATGGAACAACGAAGCCTGGATGACAGCACATCTGTTTACAGCGTGGTTTACTGAGTCTTATAAATCCACTCTTGAGACCTACTGCTCAGAAAAAAGATTTCTTTCAAAATATTACTGCTCATTGACAGTGCATCTGGTCACCGAAGAGCTCTGATGAAGATGTATAATGAGATGTAAATTGTTTTCATGCCTGCTAACACAACATCCATTCTGCAGCCCATGGATCAAGAAGTAATTTTGGCTTTCAAGTCTTATTATTTAAGAAATACATTTCATAAGGCCAAAGCTGCCATAAATGGTGATTCCTCTGATGGATCTGGGTAAAGTCAATTGAAAACCTTCTGGAAAGGATTCACCATTCTAGATGCCATTAAGAACATTTGTGATTCATGGGAAGAAATCAAAATATCAACATTAACAGGAATTTGGAAGAAGTTGATTCCAACCCTCATGGATGACTTTGAGGGATTTGAGATTTCAGTGGAAGCAACTGCAGGTGTGGTGGAAATAGCAAGAGAACTAGAATTAGAAGTGAAGCCTGAAGATGTGATTGAATTGCTGCAATCTCATGATAAAACTTTAACAGATGGGGAGTTGCTTCTGATGGATGAGCAAGGAAAGTGGTTTCTTGAGATGAAATCTACTCCTGGTGAAGATGCTGTGAGGATTGTTGAAATGACAAAACAGGATTTAGAATAGTACATAAACTTCATTGATAAAGCAGCATCAGGCTTTAAGAGCATTGACTCCAATTTTGAAAGAAGATCTACTGTGGGTAAAATGCTATCAAACAACATTGCATGCTACAGAGAAATCATTCATGAAAGGAAGAGGCAATAGATGCAGCAAACTCCACTGCTGTCTTATTTTAAGAAATTACCACAGCTACCCCAACCTTCAGCAACCACTACCCCGATCAATCAGCAGCCATGAACACTAAGGCAAGACCCTCCACTAGCAAAAAGATTATGACCCACTAAAAGCTCAGATGATGGTTAGCATTTTTTAGCAATAAATTATTTTTTAATTAAGGTATGTCCATTGTGTTTTTAGACATAACACTATTGCATGCAATAGATTACTGTATAGTGTAAACATAACTTTTATATGCACTGGTAAACCAAAAAATTTGTGTGACTTGCTTTATTATGACATTCACTTTATTGTGCTCACCTAGAACTGAACTTGCAATATCTCTGAGGTATGCCTGTAAATATCTTATCTAATAGTTCATATATGTGATATTTTATCTCATTGTTTTTACGTTCCTCGATGTAGAGGTCACGTATTATAGGTTATTTTTAAGTCTAATATAGTATTGCATATGCATTGTAGGCACCCAGAACATACAAAAGACTTGTCTCACTGTCATCAAAAATTAAAATAAAATAGTAAAAGTAGATGCTAATGTTAAATATTTTTTGAGTAAAGTTCAGAAACAGTTTGACAAAATTCAACATATTTAATAAATAAAAAAATAAATAGCTTTCAAAGCACAAACAGGCCGCATCACATGAGTAGAGCACCGGGTGAGAAATCAGAAATTATATTTAAATTTCCTATGTGTGACACTTATTACCAATCACTTTTCCCCTGACAGTTTTCTACACTTTAAAATAGAAAAGAGATGATACATGACCTGCTATACTCATGAGATGGTTAAAAGGTACAAATGTGATACTGTGTGAGACACATTTTGTAAAATATGAAACACTAAATAAGCACAAGGTGATGCTTCGCAGAGTTTTCTCTCATACAGAGAGACTTGAACTTGAACAAGGCAGCATTAGAAGTGACATTTATTCACAAAGATTTCTTCTTTTTTCTTTTTTTTGGAGGGAGGGGAGATTGGCCCTGAGCTAACATCTGTTGCCAATCCTCCTATTTTTTGCTGAGGAAGATTGTCCCTGGGCTAACATCTGTGTCCATCTTCATCTACCTTATATGCGACACTGCCACAGCATGGCTTGACAAGCGGTGTGTAGGTCCCCCCCTGGGATTCGGACCTGTGAACCCCGGGCGCCAAAGCAGAGTGCTCGAACTTAACTGCTACACCACCGTGCCAGACCCCACAGAGATTTCTTAATGCAACATTAAAAAATGGCCTCTTATTATTTTACTTGTTCATTTACTCAGCAAATATTTATTGATTTACATACCGACTACTCGATCCTCACTTCTACTGTGTCTGAGAAGGCACTTGTCTGCCCAATTTTGGGCATTTGTTGCTGCCTTGCTGTCCCATTCCTAAAAGAAAGAGGGAAAAAAAGATATGCACCTGACGATTCAAACCACAAAGGAGCATAAGCTTTACAATGAGATTGGTGGGTAGATTTACATCATTATAGGATTTCTGTACATGCATCTTCTGATTATCATCATAATCAAAGATCTATTTTTTGATGTGCCTTTTTCTGCTCCGTGAAGAAATATAGATGGTATGTCTACTTTAAGTAACTGAAAAATCTAAGGTGGTTAATGGTCTATTTATGATAGCACAGTAGGCACACCTAAAGATTTTTAGTAATGGTCCTACCCTAAACGTGATAAACACGTGGAGGTTTTGAGATTGTTTTTCCTGTGATAATGAGCTTACATACTTCATTCCTAGTTCTTTTTTTTTTTCACTGAATACATTTGGGAGACATGTGGTCTTTAGTACTGGGCCCAGCAAAGCGGGCTATTATTTACCCTAAGTGGTGAGCCTACAGGGAAAAGGTCTTCTTGATCCTAGATTAGGAGAGATATTAAGCAGAAAAATATAATGGCCTCTCATTGGATGTCCAAAGATTTGGTTTTCATTCCACCTCTGCAACTTAAATTGCCCTGTAACCTGATCAAGTCATTTAACCATTATAAAGTGAAATTAAGAATTTCTGCCCTGTCCCGCGGAGCTAACGAAGCTGAAGTTTTGGGCCCCTCCCTCATATAAGCCCTTCCCCAGGTTGTGGCAAGGATCCTCAGAATATGTTTGGACATATTTTTTTATTGTAAAATTTGCAATGGTAAGATATTTTTGTACTCTCTTCCCTCAAGAGGATTCCTTTAAGCTTTAAGTCACCGAAACTTGGATTTCCCCTAATAACAACATATCTCCTAGAAAAGATCTGGGATATAAGGTGGAGCCTAGGTGGAGTGCACATTAATAGTGAGGACAATGACGATGATGACGATGTTGTAGGTATGAATGTACCGAGAGGGACTGGAGAGAAGAGCTGCACACAGTCCAGAGAACTTATTGGAAAATTGTTTTGGATCAAAATAAATAGAAAAGGTCTGGTGAGAGTGTCTGAAAGTCAATTTATCCAAGTCGGAAGGCAAATAATAACCTCAAGGCGAGGGTCTTAACCCAGGGTTCATGGAGGGGATTCAGGGGATCCATGGACGCCTTGAAATTATACATATTGAAATATGTGTGTGTATATATATATATATACATGTATTGAAATACATATATATATGCATTTTTTTCTGAGAAGAGAAATTCCACTCACAAAGATGGGAAACTCTGAAATGGCCATGATAGAGAGTAGATTCTGACAGATTTTACTATTCTAGTACACAGAACATATAATGATAGGAGGAAATACAATTTATAAGCAAAAACAGTATGTGGAATTAAAAAAAGAAGAATTTCTTCTCTGTCCATAACACAGCTCAAATAACAAAATAGAGACTGAACTTCCCAAGCCCCAAAATTCCTCAAAGATGTTGTTTACTAGGTGCCTGCTCTTATCATAGCTGGCTTAAGCCACTTTCTTTATGTTATTGCCTCTTACCATCTTCAGCATGTTACTGGCAGGTGGAGAGACTGTTCTCCTTAGGTCATTGTGTTTATCTACAATCTCTTTTTGGACTTCTTCTTTGGTGGTTAACAAAGCACCAAAACCTGGATCCTAAAGGAAAGTCAAATTAGAATTATTTTTTAGTTTTGAAAATTGCATAGACAAGTGAATAATTCAAGAGAACAAAGACTCTTTTTAAAAATGTTCAGTTCAAGCCAATATTAATTGTTAAGCATTGCCAATGAATCTGAGCCAAAGCTATAATTTTTGAATAGGAACGAAATTGTGTTAAATTTTGAGAGTGGGGATGTCATTCATGGCATCACAATTAAAGACACCTCTGAGGCCACAAATAGTATTAGGAGAGATCTTAGTGTGATTTTTCTAGAAATATGAGTGATACATAATGACAAAGGTACAAGATAGAAACCGTTAAGACATTGTCATTCACACCCAATTGGGCTGCAGCAAGGGAATGGTACGGGTAGGGGCAGGTGACTCATTCTGGACTTTACAAGCACTTTTGACCTGACGTCGTGTCTGTATTTAGAGAAAGATTGTTTAGGCCCATTCCAAGTGCATTCAATACTCTAGTAAATGATGCTACCAATTATGTAACAGATTTTATGGGGTCACTCAAAAAACAGTTTTATTATATTAAAAAAATCTCCAAGGCAATTTGGAGGGAGCAGAGCCATCAATTAATGGACTATTGCTGACTTTGTTCCTTTTAGTAACAGAAAAGTAACTGATAAGATATTAAATAGGGTGCTGATATTCTTGGTGTATCTTTGTGTGGGGGGGAGGAGTCTGAGCCTGGAGGTAGACTAGGGGGTGTGAATTGTTTCGTAAGGTTTACGCAATTTGGTGATCTAAATTTACACAAGAATGTGATATTACACGAGCATGAGCAAGAGTTTGAAGCATTAAGTCTAAACAGACGGGGCCCTCTGTTGATTTTCCCTGACACCTTCGGGTAAGTTATTCTCTCCTCTCCTCAATATTGAGTTCCCTCAAAGCTCTCCAAATACTGCAAACATAGGTCTGACCATGTTTTATTGCCACTATTTATTTATGCACCCATTTTTTCTGCCTGTTTGTATGTTTCTAAGGGCAGGGACCAAGAGCGAATGCCTTGTGCCCACAGATTCAGCACATTCTCAGCTACTGATTCCTGAGTTAGAAAGGATGCACGTGTGAAATATCAATTGTGGCCAATCTCTGCATTACAGCAAAGCATGAAATAACATTCCTGGATATGTCCTATTGACCCTGAAAAACCTGCTTAAAGTAAAGCAGTTTCATTTCAAAGCACAACAAAATTTGGTGCCTGAGAAAGAAATAATTATTTCCTGCTTCTTACCCCATCTTGCTTTGTGGATAAAAATTCTGAAGAAGACATACCTTTGTTTCTTTTTTTTTTTTTTTTAATGAGTATCAATAAAGCTTTTATTAGGTGACAGGAAATATAAAAATTTTTTGAGAGTAAAATAGATAAAATATAGTATCTATCTCTCCTTAAGGGGTTTATATTGGCTAGGCGATGCGACATAAATAATTACAATACCACATGATAACTGAAATGGGAGATGGGATCTACTAGATATAGGGGAAGGAGGGATCAATTCTTCTTGACTGAGGTTAGGAAAGGCTTCACAATAGATGGTCTGGATTGAGGTTTTGAAGGGTGAATAGTGTTTTCTGGGCATCCTCAGAAGGCACTGCAAACCACACTGGGCAGAGGGTATGTAGAGCATCTGATCAGCAAACATTTAGTGGTGCAAAAGACAAAATGATATCTCCTTTTAAAATAATTTTATAAACAAAGACCAGGAGATGGACCAGAGAGGTAACAGGGTATTGGAAAGGGCCATGAAAAGAAGTCATAAGGAAAGAAATTGGGAAGACAGCAAACTACTTGAATGAAGCCCTAGGTGATGAATAAATTGTCTTCAGATTGAAAATTTGATTATGGTAACATAATAACTGTATCTCTGATTGCCAAATGAAGTGACTCAGTGTCAGAATTCTCAGGTCTGAGGAGTCCTAGCCAATCTTGTATGCCCACAGTTAAAGGAGAGTGTGGGAACAGACAGCAGTGACCCAAGTTCCTCACATTCAGAAGTTTTCTGATCAAGAGATAGACAGCTTATATGGGCACCTGCCCATCAATCATTGAAGAGGATGATTGATCCTGTTTTTGGGATTATGAAAGTGAAGCAGCATATTAGAAATAATTAGAGCATCTTATCTTACACATACTAATTGTACAGCCATGAAAAAAATCCCAATACTTAATATCTTTAGTAAGATTTCTTTTTTTTTAAATTTAAAAAATAGGTATAAGTATTCTCACACAGTAACTATGAAAATTTACTGTAGTGCTGTATGTGAAGAAGTTTTGCTGATTTGAGATTATATAAACATATTGCCAATTTTCTGTGGGAATCGCACTGAAATAGATTAAATAAAAAAATCAGAAAAGATCTTGGGACAGAAGGAGTTTCATTAGTTTTTAAAACTGTAGACCAGTGCTGTCAATTGAAATGTAATTAATGCATTACATGTAATTTTAATATTTTGGTGACCACTTTAAAAAAGAAAAAATAAGCAGATTAAATTGATATTTATAATATATTTTATTTAACTAATATGTTAAAAATATTTTGTTTTCATCATGCAATCAATATTAAAATTACTAATGAGATATTTTCCCTCCTTTTTCTACTAAGTTTTTGAAGTTTGCTATGTATTATATTTATGCAGATCTCAATTTAGACTATCTGTATTTGAGCAACTGGTGAGTACTTTGTAATGTACTGGACACTCTAGCCCTTTTTACTTTTGAAATTGATCTAGTAGCTTCCTATCCCTATCCCTCAAGGTTGTTTGAATTGTTCTGAAAGGATTTTCAACCTCAACCATACCTGTCCATTTGCAGGAAATAATGGAAGCAACACAGCAGCCAGGAACAGCAACACTGGTAATAATGCGATTGCTGGGAAAACAAAGGCAACAGAGACCTGCATTGGAATGTTTAGTGCATGAACTTCTGAGGAACAAAGGGAAAAATTAAAACAAAACAATGTATTGATCTCAGTTATCCCAAATTTGTTAGTAAGAGAAGATTTGTCACATGGTGCCAGTAGAATGATAATGGATTCAGTCCCAGAAGCCAGCCTCCGATGGGGACCATAAAGAACAAACAGAAGTAGTTGACTGAAGCCCTTGAAGTACAACTATAAATGTTAAGGATATACTACCCAATTCTCCCCTAGTTCCGCAGTCTTGTCCATGTAGCTACTCTCTTTAGGTTCTAGGAATGGTTTCTTCCTACTTTGCCCAGTCAGGAGTAGTAATAACTACCAACTGTTACTATTACTGGGGTACCACTGCATTAGTCCTTGCTGGTTCCCTTAAACCCTGCTTAATACTTTATAAATATCCCCTTATTAATATCTCTTCAAATTACCAGTTAGCATGTGCTATTTCTTTCTTTTCAGGACTCTGGCTCATATGCTTGCCATTCCTAGAACCCTAGGTAAATCCACTAAGAAGCAAGTGCTTTTCTCTAATACATTCAACCATTTTCATCAACTCTCCCCATGTAGCCAGTGTCTTTATTCATTCTCACTCAAATTTCTCTTTTTATTACAATGCCTCAAACTCCAAATTCTGGATGTAAAAACAGAAGATAGATTTCTCACTTTAAAAGGATTACTGACTAAATCTGTATGAATACCCTCAATATGTGTTCACGTATTAATATGTAATTACATACGTTTACATCCTTTGCCTCCCTGATTCAACTTCTTGGAATCCTGAGGAAAAAATAATGTATACTGGAAAAACTTTAGGCATACATTTTTCATCACATTAGTATTTATAATGGTAAAAACATAATTAATCACATGCTTAATAACGGGGAGATAAAATGTCTAAATACAGTCATGCACCACATAATGACATTTCGGACAACGATGGACCACATATATGATGGGGATCCCATAAAATCAGTACCATATAGCCTAGATATGTAGGAGGCTATACTATCTAGGTTTGTGTAAGTACACTCTATGATGTTCGCACAATGACAAAATTGCCGAACAATGCATTTCTCAGGACATATCCCCATTGTTAAGTGACACGTGACTGTAAATTAGCGTACATCCTCTTGCTATAGTGTATTAGACATAAAACTATGTTTATGATGGTTTTATAATAAGGAAAATGCTTATGCTTCAAATTTAAGTAAAAAAACCAGAATACCAAGTAGTATATGGGAGATCCTTAGCCTTCCGCTATGGATGAACGTTTGTGCCCTCCCAAAATTTTGTTGAAGCCCTAACCCCCAGTGTGGCTGTATTTGTATTTGGGCCCCAAAGAAGTAGTTAAGGTTAAATGAGGTCATAAGGATGGACCCTGATCCAACAGGACCAGTGTTCAAATAAGAAGAGACACCAGAGCGTGCTCTCTCTCTCTCTCTCTCCTCCATGCATACAAAGAGGCCATGGGAGAACACGGTGAGACGGTGGCTCTCTGCAAGCCAGGAAGAGAAGTCTCACCAGAAACTGACCATACTGGCCCTTTGGTCTCAGACTCGTAACCTCCAGAACTGTGGGAAAATAAATTTCTGTTTTTCAAGCTACCCAGTCTGTGATATTTTGTTATGGCAGCCCAAACAGACTCATACACATTCTCATGTTTAATATTTGAGGGTTAGGTTACGTGGGAGTGAGTTCCAAGGTCCATAATACGGAGTAATTTGAAGTCTTCTGGAGCCACAGCTCTGCATTCAGGCGCGTGTGTTCTCACAAGGGACTGAGGTAGCCGATTACCTCCGACTGTCATCCAGCATCCACATCTCAATGCAGCTTTGCTTTTCTCACAGATAGATGACAAAAACTCTATGACATAGGTATTTTGGGCCAATTTTAAGCTAAAGTAATGGAATAAATTTTATTGCAGAGTGGTATTGATGATTTTGATGTGCAGGGAGACCTGGGAATGCATACATTGTGATTCTCCTGGAAGACAGACAGAAACAGAACCTCATTCTCTTCTCCCACAAAGCTAATGATCAGACAAAAAGCCAGGCTAAGAACAAATGAGATTAAACAGAAATACAAGAGAATGAGTTTATCTTCGTGTGGTAAGACATTCTTTTCTGCATTTTCTATAATGAGTCTGCGTTATTACAATTACAGTAATTAGAAAAAGGAAAGACTTTTATTACAAACAGATTATTAACCTTGGAAAAGTGCCTCTGGCTTTGTCAAACCTATTATCTTAGTTGCTTTTTTGCAACCTGGTACAGCCAATAGTTTAGGCATTATGGTGTCCACGTAAGAGAAGAACGGAGGTACAGAGATATTAAGCAACCTTCTGACAGTCTCATTGCTAGTTATTGTATAGCTGGGACAGATCTAAGATTTCTTTTAACCTCAATATCTATTTCCCACTAAACTGTATTATACTTTTTTGGGGGCATGGGATTCTGGGTAAGAAAGAAAGCACTTAATGAATTTCTGCCTTGACAAAAGTAGTTGCATATTCCTATAAATCTTTTTGCAGCTGGTAAATCGCTGGTAGATTACTGAACATGTTTGAGAAAATTAGAAAAAAATTAACAAAATATTAACAATTAAGTCAATTCTTTTCTGTTGTCCTTCAAATGTAAAATAAAACTCCTAAGACTTAAAGAGCTCAAATAATATTTTCTTAGGATATCCATCTTGAGTTGAAAACATACCCCATTATGATAAGCTTTACGTAACTTTGTTGAAATAATGAAGAACTTTGCTGGCATGTTAATGAAGTATTTTTGTCCATTTAATAACTAGAATGGGAAGGGACGGAATTGAAATGGGAATCACAAAATTGGTAGCATATTTCTATAAGGGTTCTATAAGGAATAAAAATTATACAGGTGTTCCCACAATGTTTTGGAAATTTAAGTTCTTCTATCCCTTTAAAATTTTGCTCATAGCTATAGGAAAAAGTTGATTTTGTTTATATTGTAGTTTTTAGGGAAACAGAGGAAGAGGTGGAACAGAATGAAAATTTGAAGATAGAAAAGGAAAAACATAGAAAGAGAAATGAACTTATTTCAGTATAAAGCAAATACATAAATTTAAAGTCAAAAAGAGCCATTTTTATTTATCAGATACCTGGTCCCAGACTGAGCAAACCTAAACTTTGGCACCTGGTATCGTGAGAAATAAAAGAGAGCACAGTAAGTGTTAAGAAGCCTGGGTTTTTCTTGTTATTGTTGACGCGCTCTTACTCAGCTCATCTTTAACTAGCGATATGAAATTGAAAATCTTCATTTGTCAAGTTAGAATATCGTGACATAGGGTCACCTCATAGGATTTTTGTGAGCTTTGAGGAGTTAAGTAATGTTAAAGCAATTTGAAAACATAAAAAAATCACCATACAAGTCCTGGCATTAACCTTACTATTTTTATTATCATTTGAGATGCTTGCTCCCTCAGCTGGGAGTATTGCCAGAAATCTCTCAGCTCTCAGGCCCTTCAGGGATTGGCTCTTCTGAAGACAGCCACCTGGCCCAAGATGATGCTCCCTTCCCAGGGCACCCTCATCCTATGTCTGTCAGATGTGGAATATAAAGGCTGACTTCTTTGCTCCAACTAGAGACAACTTTGAAAAATCATCCCAGCTTCAGAACCACTCTGAAGTAGTTGACTGGCTGAAGCCTCCAATGAGACTACATCACAGCTTGATTTCTACCTTTGCCTAATCTTATTCCTTTCCCCTCCTTCCTAGGAAATGGATCACAAGCGCATTCCTTAATAAACTTCCTGTGTCTCGGATTTTGTTGGGTTACCTGGGCAACCCAACCTGTGACATCATTCATTAGATAACCTTCTTTTTTGTAACTCTAGTCAGGATAGGCTCTTTATTTATGCCTTCGTTATCCTGCGATCATATGCCCTTTATGCCATCGATCAAGTTAATCCTCAAACCTGGATTCTAGCCACATCCTTCAAAAACATTTCTAAGTACCTCTCTCCAAAGAAACTCAGAGGCTAACTCCAAAAACACTGATCTTGTTCCTGGATAGGAATATTTAAAGCCCACCCAGTAAACTTTTGATTATGTTCATTTTTTCTGATTTAGTGCAACATCTTATTTCTCTCAGTTTTTTTATGCACTTTTGACGTTCTTCCAGATTGTGAGTTTGGAAAAGGCAGACTACTATCTTCACATTCTTTTAAATGCTTAATGGCTAACGATGGTTCACTCTGTACTTGCTCAGTGGTGGAGCTGCAGAAACTTTCAAAGTCTCCAGAGGACTGTCTCTCGTGTCCTTGGGCACACACATCCCTCTGGCAATGGCCTCAAGTAGGCCTCCTGGAGAATTTGAGCAAAAGAGAAAAACAGATCCTTCTTTTTTTGCAAGTCATTGACAATCAGATATTGTTCTTTCCTTTAACAGACATTCATCTGGTTTTACATACTCTATTGAGGACAGCATGCTAGATATTGCTGGACATGATCAAGTGAAGAAGACCTGATTCCTGCCCACCTCAGAGTCTTAGCATATTATTGGGGGAGCCCATCATTTAAGCACCCAGAGTGTGAGCTGATTGGACTTTCCCATGGGTGCAAAATTGGAGGATAAACTTTTATTTTCTTTTGCCCTAACCCATTCTGAGGCTTTTGGAGAAGGATGGGGAAGAAGCTAACATAGCCCAGGGCTCTGGAATTAAATATTTCAGATGAGGTAACTATGATAAAAATCTATCATCAGCTATAAGACCAAAGCACGTAGCCCCACCACACCCCTCTTCCCCAGGGGCTGCCCTGAATAGCAGGTGCAGAGAGGATACAGTCTATTTGCACTTTCATTTGGTAGAGTTACACAGAAAGTGTTATAAAGAATTAGGAAAAATAACTTCCTCTTTCTGTCATCTACTTGCATGTAGACAATTTCTAAATGTGTGTAGTCATACATTTCCTCTGCTGTTTCCTTAGGAACAAACTTTAGATTCCTTTTAATTTATCTCTATTAAAAGAGTTATTTTGCTATGTGCAAGTCACCAAGTCTCTCCTATCATCTGGTTTTCTTCTTTGCTGGGAGTAATTTTCCCTTTTCATAGAGATTAGTAATTTCTTCAGGTGTGACTAGAGAAAAGCCAAATCCAGGGATTTCAAAGATTTGCAATTCCAAGTGTTGGTGGTTTACTGCTATCTAATTACAGGCAGCAGAGCAAATTGTGTCTTCTTTAAGCATAAATGTATATGATGCAGTTAAACTGTAACATATTGCTGCTTCTTCACATTGATGTTAGGACCACCACTAAGTTTAAAACACTCATTTGATAAAGAAAATGTTATTTTCTCTAACGACATGGTATCACTGCCTATTAACTGATAAAAAACGTGTATTTACAAGAATTATACCGGCATACCTTGCCTTAAAAGTCCATTTTGTGGAAATAGAGATTTTCAAATTATAGACTAAGGAGAAGTTGCTTAGTTCCTAAGAGAATAATTCATAAAAGGGTCCATTTAAAAAGTAAGCTTTTAGGCTTCTATTCCAGTCAGGATATCAAAACAGGTAGGCTTCTTATTATGGCACCGACATGAACTCTGAAGGAATGATAGAAGCAAAAGGAAAACATGCCTTCCAAGAAAGTATCAAAAAGATAGTGAGAAAAATCTGAGAAGAACTTTCTCTCATGACCTCTTGTATGTGTGTATGTATGGGTGAGTTGGTGTGTGGTGAGTGTGAGGTGGAGGAAGGTGTTACGTCCTGAGGCAGTGGCTGGCTCAATGGCATAGGAAGAGTAATGCCTTTTAGTTCCTGCTCTTGCCTGAAGATAATAATTTCTTCCCCTTTATTGCAAAATTCTGCAGCAACAGAACGAGCCACCTGTCCTGGTGCTGTATGTCAACAATATAGAATCGGGGAACCATAAAAACCTTCATCAGGTGTGAAGACTAATGAAATAAAGATATGTGGACTACTGTATGTTGCTATTATAGTCGTATCTCTATTCCTCCCCACCACCCCCCCTCAAGTTTATGTGAGTATAAATTAGTGTGACTACTTCCTCCCAATGCTGTTTCTTCCTAAAGTGTAACCTGAGGAGTGGCAGTGAATGGAAATGATTCTGGGAGTGATTCCTAAAACAGATAAGGATAATAGTAAATAATATATAGGCCCATTTCATAAAGGATGTGCAAAAATCCAAGCAAGATATGAATTCACCAACTTCAAAAATGCATTTAAAAAATCATGATCAAGTAAAGTTTATACCAGGACTGCAAAGATAATTCAAAATTAAGACATTCATTGGTCAAATTCATCACATTAATGGAATAAAGAAAAATCACGTGGCAAAAAATATGTTATTAAGTTCAATCTCTAGTTAGAGCTGAAAAAAAAAACAGGAGAATAGAGGAGATCATTAATTTGGTAATGGCAAAATTGCGAAATATCTCTAGCAAATATTTTAGTTATTGGAGAAACTCCAGGTGTATTCCATTCAGTATTGGGAACAAGATAAGAAGGACTAATGGCACTGTTAACATATTGGAGAGGTCCTGATCAAAGCAATAAGAAAAGGAAAAATATATATTTGTAGGTCTTGTAAGGGAAGAGGTAATATTGTAATGAATTTCAAATGATATGATCATCTATCTAGAGATTGCACCATAATTAACAAGTTTGCTAGATGCAATATCAGCCTACAAAAAATAACATTTCCCGGGGCCAGCCCAGTGGCATAGTGGTTAAGTTTGTGTGCTCTGCTTCAGTAGCCCAAGGTTCACAGGTTTGAATGTTGGGTACGGACTGATGCCTCACCCATCAAGCCATGCTGTGGCAGTGTCCCACATACAAAATAGATGAAGATGGGCGCAGATGTTAGCTCAGAGCCAATCTCCCTCAGCAAAAAAAAAAAAAAAAAAAAAAGTACCATTGCCATATACCAGCAACACTCAACTAGGAAATAAGATTTAAAGAAAAGATACCATTCATAATAGTAACACAAATTATAAAGTATCTATGAAATAACCAAGAATAAAAAAATTCCTTTTTCGAGAAAACATTAAAACTCTAGTAAAAGACATTTAAGAAGATCTGCATAAATGGAGAGGTTTTCGTGATCTTAAATGGTATGCTAATATAACAAAGATGTCAATCCTAATTAAACTAATGTAAAAATTCTTTATCATTCCAATAAAAATTCTGATTGGCCCATGAATAATGAAATAATCCTTTTATAAGAAGAATTAATTTGGGTATATTTTTGTACTAGTTATTAAGATAGATTTCAAACTTACGTTGACAAAAATTTGATATTATTGTAGGAACAGACAAATGGACCAATGGAGGTAAATAGAAAATTTAAGAGACAGACCAAACAAGGTAGCATAAAAAGGCATTAGAGGAAGAACAGATTATCTAGCATACAGTATTGGGAAAATTAGCTCACTCTATGGAGAAAAATAAAACAGATTCTTTTTAAGCATTATCTATAAAGGTGAAAGTAGAGGGATTAAATTTATAAATAGATAAAACGATTTACATGCAAATTTTCAGGGCCATACTCCTTTGCCCTAAGTGAGTCACACATAATAATGCCGATCTCTGGTGATTCTGTGTTTTGTGTGAAGCGCTATGTTACTCTTTATGGGCTCATTTAAAACTCATAACAATCTAGATAGTAAATGATGTTACTCAATACTCCAGTTTACAGATGAGCAGCCCCGGGATCAAAGATTTAATAATGAAATGTCATAAACTTTCAAGCAGATCTGAGGAATAAGCCCAGACAGTTTGGCTTAAAGCCCTTGATCCTGAAAGGAAGAGATGAACTTGTTTTAAGTGATTTTACAGACCAGAAAATATGTCGTTTAAAGCACTAACACACATGTGTTGTAATGCATGCATTATAGGTATAGACACATTTATATACCAATCACAGACCAGAAAAGTAACTGATGCAATATTTTCAAACTTTCAATGTGGTATTTAATTTTATTTATTTATTTATTTTCCCCCAAAGCCCCAGTAGATAGTTGTGTGTCATAGCTGCACATCCTTCTAGTTGCTGTATGTGGGACGCGGCCTCGGCATGGCTGGAGAAGCGGTGCATCGGTTCATGCCCGGGATCCGAACCCCGGGCCGCCAGTAGTGCAGCTCGAGCACTTAACCGCTAAGCCACGGGGCCGGCCCCCTCAATGTGGTATTTAATCTTCATTCTGATCCCTTTCATCTCACCACTTGTCTGTGAGATAGAAAGCAGCCCATGACACTATACAAAGTTCACAAAAGTTCTAGACTTTATCATGTAGAAAATCTGTAAAAGTATCTAAATAATAATAGCTGCCTTGACAGTTCCCAGAAAACAAATTTTTTCCTTTCCAAGGATGAATTGCCTTCTCTTTACTTAAATATACTAAATAACATCATCAGAATTCCTAGAAGTATCTGATTTAAACATTATTTGAGAGTTCTGACATTCTTCCTTCCAATTTACCTCTTCCCCTTACAAATCTGAGCTCAATCCAGGGGCCCCAGTTGACTGTACAATGCATCATTATTGAGTATCGCCTCTGGGCTTGAAACTTGTCATCAGTTTAATTTCCTTTGATTCTCCTCCAGATCGTTAGTCACCCAGGCAGACGTTGGTTTTGATTTTAACTAGCAGAAGAGGAAACACCTGATCTTCTTTGGCAACAGTATGTCCTGCCAAAGCTCCCTGGATGGCATTTAGCCATGGAGGAGAAAAACATTAATAAAATAGTTTTGTAAGTAAAATCTTCCCTCTACAAGGTAAATAACGCCTTATGTGTTGTCGTTAGGTAGTTCTGTGGTCTCTTGATATCTTTTTACCCAGAATCACTTCTTATTTGCTAAAAATATTAAGTTCTATGTGGAAATTGCTTCCTTATATAAAATATACACAGCATATTATATTTAAATTATTTATATAAATGTAGCTGCCTGAGTAGATTGACTGATTGGAAAAGTTTTAAAAGTCTTTTTTTTTCTTTTTGATTTGAGCGTATTTCATGGAGGAAATTGTATTTTATGTTTTGATAATCTTTAATAGAATACCTTTTATCTCCAAGTCAGTGCTATAATTTTGTTTTGATAGATTTAAACTTATTATCAATAGCTTCTCATCCTTATTTTAATAATATCTATATGAAGACATATCCATATATGTGAATATTAAAGTTATTAATATGGAAGTATACATACACATATAACTATAGTTTTTCATTTTTCTATTAAAGGAAGTTCTAGTGCAATTGTTTCTAAGTTAAAGACATGGGAATTAATTATATTTTTTATTTTCGAATGAAAAGTAAAAAATTCATTTAAATATTAAATTCAATAAAAGTGCTTTTGAAATAATAGAGCTATGTCACTTTCTTAGCTTAAAAAGAATATAATAACTTAAGATTATTACTCTCAATAAAAGTTACAACAGAGTTTTGAAAAGGATAGATTCATTCACTATACATCATTTCACCACTGACATGGCATAAATATATTGGCATAATAAAATGTCCACGTTAAAATAAAGGAGTTATCACTTACTTTTGGTTCTCAGAGCAAGGTGAAGTATCTGCTTTATCTGTAGGAAGAAGTAAGGTGGCGAGAGAGAAGGATAGAGAGGTATATATACATTACACCTATTTCCTGTTTTTAGCAAATTCTGGTTATGCAAGTAGTCTAAGTCAACAGGTCTGAAACAGGATTTGTCATTCCAATAAGTCTCAAATTTCATTGCTGTTTGTCTAACTGCAGTTTTGGCAGTATCTTGTGATTCTCCACAGTGATCACCATTTGCCTCTGTTCATCTATGGAAGGCTTTATTTAAACATTTCAGGCTTGTTCCCACATCTCAATAATGAAGGAGGTTGGACTAATGAGTTCAGATTCTCTCTAGCTCTAAAATGTAATGATTTCAAATCCTGAGTTTTCATTAATGAGGGAGTATAAATTAATAAATCACAAGTAGCACATACATAGCACTGGTAGACATTTCTGGGTGCTCATGTAGGCGTATAGATTTCACAATGTGGTGCGCAATTCAATAATATCTGTTCATTTTTTTTTATTCTAGCATTATTGAGTTGTGTGGCAAAAACGTACCAGAATAGACCAGTGCCTGCTCAACAGACATATCATTTAATTATAGTTAATCAGTAAGTTAAATGATGGTATATTACTCTAAATTTTCTCAACAAAGTTTAGAACTCAGGATGGATTTTACCATAAAATAAAAAAACTGCTAACTGTTTGGCTTCCATGTCTCTAGTTAATCCCTAAAGTGTATTTTACCCCATGTATATGTGAAGTGGGAGCTCTCAATAAGCTGAATCAGCCACTTGGATAAAAGCACCTTGGAATTACCATCTATGTAATCATCTTTCTGTGAGAGAATGTGTTTCATGGGCAAGACCAGATCCAGAAGCATCTAGGACCCATCTTCCTCTCCACTTAATGGTGTAGAATATTGTTAAGAGCTGGGGATTTATAGTCTGATAGGTTTAAATTTCTGTACCCATGTATTTTGGGAAGTTATTTTTCTTTCTGTAAATTTCATATCTATAAATGGGAATAATATTATTTTATTTAACTGTAATAAAATGAGATAGTATGCGTAAGTTGCCTGCCGTGTAGGAAGAACTTCTAACGTGTTAGTTTCCTCCCATATTATATGCTTCTTTTCCTCTGTGTCTGAACAAACCTGCACCTGATGCTTGTAAGCTATGGGATTGCCCTTGAATTTTATGAAACATGGTTTGATTTATAAGGTATATGTAGTTCTGTGAAAAATTACCATAAGAAGTGGATAGAAAATGGTATAAAAAGGGAAAAAATATTTTTTGATTTATTAACACTTAGATTTCCTCTAACTTTATATTCATAGTTATCACTAGATGATCATTGTGTGCAGCATGATATATAAGGTATTTTGCTTGTCAAATATTAGCACCCTTATTATTAAGTTAAACAAATATAAAAAATATGTGTCTCCTTTGGGTCACAAAATAGTGTACACGTATCCGACTGACAGATTGACCTTAATCTTCCAAAATGGTGTTTCCAAACACCTTGGTTCTCTCTCTTCCCATGATGAGTTTTTTTTCCGTATTTATGTCTACCATGGTCATTGTTGGTCCTTCATGACCCAGTCCTCTGAATTTTATCAATGAGTATCTTCCAGCTTATTCTTATTTGTATATCCAAACTTTATGTTAAAAGGGCAAATCATTGGCTCCTGTGTATATATTTTAATCAATTTCAACTATTCTAATGGAACTTGTAATTGAGTATCTCGGTGACCATTGCTATTAATCACTACATCCTGCTTAGGGAATGTTGCTTTTCTTACTCCTTAAAATTAATCTTCTGTTCTTGGGTTTTGACCACTGCACTCTAACCAGATTGGCTATAACATGAATAAACAAAGCACAGCTTCCCTCCTTCCCTAACTTGCCCTCTTCTCATCTTAGACACGGTAGCAACTGGATGTTGCCTTTTTGGCATTTCTAATCATTTGCTGATCACCCAAAACTGAGTAGTTACTGCAAAGGTAAATAGGATCCTTGCCTTATAGCTGACCTCTCGTGGCCCAGCTTTCTATGACTTTTACTTCCCAGTTACCAACCACCTACTGGTTAAGAGCAGTCTTTGAAAACTGTCAGATCTGGGAAATCCTCTCCGAACTTCAGTTTTCTCTTCTGTAAAATGTGGATTTTCATATCATAGGTTTGCTTTGGCAATTGAAAAGTTTATTGTACATAAAATGCTTAAAATAATGCTTGGCATATGATAATAAATAGAAATAACATTTTTATTGTTATCTTCTCCAAAGCCTGGTATTCGTTAAGCACATAAAATGTTTCCGTAAATGCATTTTGTTTGAGTGAATTGCCAATGCAGGAGGATTTATAAGATCTTTTTCTCCTTTTAGATGTCATAGGAAAGAATCAGTATAATTTAATCAGAAGTTTGAGTGTTCAAGGCCCAGTTCTATTAGAGACCGTCAGGGTGACCTTAGTAAAATGATTGATCGTCTCTGGTCCTCTGTATCCTCAACAAGAAATTGAGGGTCATAGACCCAGGTGCATTTTAGAATTAGCATTAATTTAACTATGGCCTCATACATAAATAGTATGTTTATAAATGTCTTTTAAAATTATTCTTTAATATAATAATTAAATTTAATGACATTAATTTCCAGGAAATGGATAATCTGTATGCTAATTTATTTGTATTGTTCTCTCATTTTTTCAGTCCCTACAGTTAATTTCCCAATTCCTTCTCTTTTTTTTATGAAAATATATTTGACATATAACTCTGTATAAATTTAAGGAGTACATGTTAATTTGATACATTTATATATCGTAATATGATTGTCATTGTAGCAATAATTAGCACCTCTATCATGTTACATAATTATACTTTCTTTTTAGTGGTTGGAATAATTAAGTTCCAGTCTCTTAGAAATTTTGATGGTTATAATACAATATTGTCTGCATTCACTGCACTATGCATTAGATCTCTAGGGCGTATTTACTACTCATTGGAAGTTTATACCCTTAAACCACATCCGTCCTATCCCCCCAACACCCATCCCTTGGTAAACTTCATTTTACTCTCTGTTTTTATAAGTTTGGCTTTTTTAGATTCCACACATAAGTGATAACGTACAGTACTTGTCTTTCTCTATCTGACATCTCATTTAGCATAAGTGCTCAAGGTCCATCCATATTGTCACAACTGGCAGAAAATCCTTCTTTCTCATGGCTCAATAATATTTCTTTGTACATATATACCACATTTTCCCCAGTTCCTTTTTATCACTCATATATCTAACTATGTGAGTGAATATCTGACTTGTAGATTATTGATGTGTTCTTTCCTTGTGTATAATCCATTTATATGTGTCTTAGGTCAGGTTCCCTGGAAACGGAATCTGAGGCACACATTAGGCTGCCTGTGGTTTATTGAGGAAGTGCTCTTCAGGAAAAAGCTGTTAGGGAGGGAGTGAAGTAAGCCCGCAAAGGGCAAAGAGCTAAGAAAAGATGAGGTCTCTGGTTAAGTCTAGCCTTTCCTGATCAACAAGGGTAGGGCTCCAGACAGCCTTTTCTAACCTATGAATCAGTCAGTCATTAGCAGTGGTGAGATGATGAAACTTCCCTGGCAAGGTGGCTCCCAACTGCCACAGGCAATTCTCTTGAGAAAGGGGACAGTTGTGGACATTTGGGGGTCAGAGACACTGCCACTGGGACAGACTCTCTGTGTTATATCTAAACAATATCTACCTTTGATGGGACAATATTTGCATTATTATAGTTAGTGCATATTATAAAGGTGATATAAAGAATGGCGAAGGCATCTATCTTCTCCATGACTCAGCTATCTCATCTGAAAAATGAGATGGTAGACTAAATAATTTAAAAACCTACCCACTGCTAAAATTGAGTGAGTCTCTGTTTTAGGAAAAGAAAAAACAAGGTTCTATCTTCTCTCTTTCATTACACAGATGTATTTATTTGCTGTCACTGACTTTTGTCTGTCTTGGTTTTAATACAGTTCTCAGTTTCCTTACCTGTAGAATAAGGATAAAAATAATACCTAGTGTTATGAAGATTAAATAAAGTTAATATATGGAAAACACTTTATAACAGTATCTTGCACATTGTAAGTGTCCCATAAATATTAGCAAATATGAGTATATGTAAAGTGGTGAGATTACAATAAATGGTGTTAAAAGATCTATTCAGCACTAGATTTTTGCTTTTGTAAAATTCATTTTAAGTATAGTGAAATTGTTATTCATCATCATAAAGTACACAGAAGTTGTTAATAACTTGTTAGAGATTGCACTGTTAAGCGTCTTACATGGACTCCCTGGTATTTAGCAGAATTGGCAGTTCTACAGAAGGGAAGTTAGCAAAGAAGTATCCAAAACTGGGGAGAAGAATTGCTGTATTTTACTAAGCAAGTCTTATCTTTGATGTTCTCAAATTTAGTGTCAACAAGTAAAATATATATACAGGACAAATTTTTCACAAAGAGAAAACTAGATTTTTTTTTCATGGGGGGGTGCCGAGTCATGTATGTCAACTCTTATAACTGGAAAGGCATAATAAGTATTTAATAAATATATGTTGAAAAATTACTAAGTAAAAAGTAGGATCAATAGAAGAGATGTAAATATATTTCCTCTAGGCAAATACTCCTTAAAATTGCTCAAGATCCTCACTTATAAACTTAGAAGCTAACATTGTGGTTGTAATTATGATCAGAGAGTGCACATGCTGAAAATGCATTTGAAAGAACACTATTTCTTTTTAAAAATCACCTAAGATCTTACCACCCATAACTAAAAATAGTAAGTATTTTGGAGTAGTTTCTTATAGTCTCCTTTGTATATTTTATATCTTATTTTTTATTGCAAAATAGAGTTAGAATTTTTCTCCAAAGTTAACACAGTTAATACATAACCTATTTGGAAGATGATAAAAAGACCAGGATTTTGAAAAGCATGTGCCACTGAATGATTTTTTACATGAGTTTCTTCTTTTTTTTTAAAAAAAAAAAATAACAGCTACTCAAGTTTTTCAGAATGAGTTTTTTTTTTTTTTTAGATTTTTTATTTATTTTATTTTTTGCCCCCAAAGCCCCAGTAGATAGTTGTATGCCATAGCTGCACACCCTTCTAGTTGCTGTATGTGGGACTCGGCCTCAGGATGGACAGAGAAGTGGTGC